GAGGCAGGAATCAAAATCCAACAGAAAATAACAAACGCACCAGAACCAAGGAGACATCAGGGGTAAACCAAAACTCTAGGAGCCAGGGAGAGACCAGGAAAGCAGACAGACGTTGATCCAGCAAACAGGAAGTGAAGAGGGAGGGCTTTAAAAGGGGACAGGGACAAAGAGAGGGCTAACGAGGGGATTAGAAACAGGTGAGGGCAGAGAAGAAAACAGAGCAAGGGAAAGAGGACACAAGAGGGCAGCAGAGGACAACAAATGGAAAACCAAGAAAAACAGGAACTAACAAACCAAGACTCTGACAATATTTACTCACTTTAACACAATAGTTTCATGTTAGCAGGATAGGACATAAAGCAATTGTGTATCCCAAAAAAAAAACGGTTGCATTGTTTTTTCAGTGGAGCAGGACTGAAAAATCCTGGGTGTGTCAGACTGAGCATCTGTTTCTCTTCTCTGATGTTTCTATTACACCTCAGATCCTCTAAAACAATAAATCACCAAAAACTCCTGAACAAACCGACATTTATTTGCATCAACAAGAAGCATCAGCTGCTTTATTTGCATAAGAAAAAATCAACACAACAGAAGCTCTGGAGAATCAGACTTTCTTCAGGTAAAAATGTTAAACTGGAAAAAAAAATCTAAATCTAGATAAGTCATTTTTCTTAAAATAAATGCATTGGATTGAGGAGATAAAAGAGACATTTCGCCAATGGAACGAGACAATTTACACTTAAAATTAATCTTATTTCAAGTGCCTTTTATCTAAATATCTTATTTTAAAAATAAAAATGCTCATTTCATTGGCAAATCATCTCATTTACCTTCTCAAATTAACAGCAAATACACTTAATTTAGGAAATGTTGACTTATTTCTAGACCTTTTTTCCAGTGTAAACTGGAAACCAAAGATAAAACCAGTGGAGCTGCAGATCATCAGGCTTCTGCTCTCAGTCCGACATCAAAGTTCTTCCTCCTTCTTCTTCACTTCCGGTGCAAACAAGCTGGAAGTTCTGCCTGAAGCTGTGAGTCCTGAGCTGCTTCCATCAACCGTCTCTGTTTGTGACTCTGGATCCCTGAGAGCATCAGAACACAGAAAGGTTCTGGAGCGGAACACTGAAGGCAGGGAGACTCATCTAAGGTTTGCACAGACACCTCATCATCATCATCATCATCATCATCATCATCTGCTCTAATTATTTACTAAGCTATAAACTTGTTGACTATCTGTTGGGATGTTTGCAGTTTTTCTGAGGTCATAAATAAGGAGATGTTCCTGTTAGATTATCTTCACTTTCTGGTTCTGATCTGCAGGCGGTGTGTCAGCATCTCCCTCCTCCTCCAGGAGCATTTAGGACCTTTTCTCCTTCTGCCGCTGGTGGATCTTCATGTGCCTCCTCCTCTCGTCGCTGCGCGCAAACTTCCTCCCACACTGCTCGCAGGAGAAAGGTTTCTCCCCGGTGTGCGTGCGGATGTGCGTGGTGAGGTGGTCGCTGCGGCTGAAGTTGCGCATACAGATGCGGCACTGGAACGGCTTGTGTCCGGTGTGGATGCGCAGGTGTCTGCTCAGCTCGTCGGAGCGCGAGAAGCGGCGGTCGCAGCTCTCCGCGGGGCAGGGGTAGGGCCTCTGGTGGACCGGCGTCTTGCTCGGCCGGTTCGGGTACTTCCTGGGCCGCAGGATGGGTCTGAGGGGGAGGTTCTGGTGGCTGGGGAAGGCCGCGGCCATCGGGCCCTCCACGGCGGAGGGAGGAGCAGCCAGCGTAAAGTTCCTGATGGTGTTGAGCGGCGTGAGAGGCGGAGGCACCCTGAGGGGGTCCAGCGTGTAGGGGAGGGACTTCCTGTCCGGGAAGGCGGTCTGCAGGTCCCTCTGGCAGCTCTGCTGGTAGAAGCCTCCGTACTCCGGCATGATGGAGAGCAGCGCGGGGCCGTCCACGCTGGGTTTGGGCGCTGAGGTGTAGGCCTGTGGGGGGTGGTAGGACACGGAGCAGGTGGAGGGAGGCAGGTACCCCCCACCTGACGGGTCCTGGTACATGTCCCCGCTGCAGGAGTAGGTGGGCGCGGTGTGGGGGTGCGGATGCGCGGGCGCGTACATGTGGCTGACGTCCGGCGGGCCGTGCGCCATGCCGCCGCCTCCTGCTTCAGGTGCGTAGATACCTGGAGAGGGCGCAGCGGGCGCGTTACTGCCGATGTCAGCGCTGACCACGTTGATGGTGTCTCCGGATGTCCACGGCTCTCCTGCTCCCCTGGACTCCACTGAGAACCTGCCGGTGAAGGCCACGGGGTGCGTGCGTAAAGTGGCCGCGTACTGCGCCAGATCTCCGTGGAGCTGCAGCTCAGGTGAGCCCCTCCCCTCAAACAGAAGCTCACCTGGAAAACAGAAGGAGAGAAGACATTGTGATCAGCATCTAGGGGCCGTTTGGGTGCAGCAGGTGGCTCCAAGCTTACCGCCTCCATCCTCCTCTCCCACAGGCTCTTCCTTAAACACAGTCAGCCCCCCCTCCGCTGTGTCCACTACTCTGCTCAGAGACGCAGAAACTTCCTCCTGCAGAACCTTCGCGCTCATTCCGTCTCTGAGATGATTTTAAACTGTTTTCTAGATCTGGTGTCTCTGCTGCTTCTAGCCGCTCATAGTGTCTTCTAACCCCGCTCCTTTTCCGCCTCTCCGCCCTTTAAAACTGCTCCCACGCACAGCGGTATGGCTATAAAGGGAATCTCTGGGTGTCCCCCTGACGTCACTGACCAAATATGGACTTGGCTCAAAAACAAGAGGGAATTCCAGAAATAGAACAAGAGGAGCGGCGGTGAAAACATTCAGGAATATCAAAAATAAAAACACAAACACGAACGTTTGAATCAGACTGTCGGGTTTTATTGATGGGTTTTATTCGCAGGGATCATCGGCATCATTTTCACTCTTTTATCGGGAAAATGGGCTCCGGGGTTCGGAATTCCGGCCGCGGTGTCTCCATAAAAGGATTCTCCGGTGAGGTGTCAGGATCTCCGCCTGCTTATATGGCTGCTATCCGGCGGAGCTGCGCGCCAACTGAGCCCACACACACCGACTGGAGACGACCTGCTCCGACTGCGGCTCCACCTGCAGGGATGGATGGATGGA